CAGCTGAGGGGTGATCAGAAGGATTAATTATTGTTCCTTAGAATCACAATACCTTCATATAGTCCTATAATAGAACTGTAATAGTCTTTAGTTTTCTATTTTATCAGATACATTTACTGAGCTAAACAAACAATTTATACATTTCAAGAACCATTTTTTTGAGCAATTCCTCCCTCTCCAGTAAATCCACTCAAACCATGAGGCCCACAACTATCAAATGACTATATTTCATGACAAACTAGCCTCTTCTGAACACCTGTCATGACACTGTCACCTTAAAAGACGACGCTTACCTTTCTTTGGCGATTTAGCGGCCTTGGGCACTGACATTCTGCTCGCGCGCTTCTTCGGGGCTCGGAGCCTCGTCCTTCGCGTCTTCTGCGTCGCCTTCTGTCGCCTCCGCGTCCTGCTCGGCCTCCTTCTCCTCCTCCTTTTTCTCTACGTTACTCTCGTCCTCAGACATATCTGACTGTTAATTGGACCAGAAATGACAATTAATCAATCGCTTAATATAAATCCCACGTCCTCCTACTCGCAATGGACTCGCGTTTCTCATCGTAAAATCAGCTGATTTTCCGACTACCTCGGAGGCGCGGACGGGAAAAAAGTAGCGAGTCGCCAGCTGGCGCACCCCACGCCAAGTGGCCGGGCGGCGGGCCGAGGCTGTGCTTCTCTTTATTATTTGCTAAATTATTGTGCCTTTAATACGATATTATGCGGGTTAAACGTATAATTACCGCTAGCCCTATGCATATTCTTTGGCACTGTATGACCAGAATGGCGAGTCATTTCGTGAACTTCGAATAATAAGGAAAGAATCAAATACCCAGGCAGAAAATCTCTCTCCATTGTTGTATATTTTTGCTCACTATTGGAGCAATTAAGAGTCTATCCATCAGCGCAAAAAACTCGTATTTGTTGCCACACGCTTTTTGTAAGATAATGTTGTGGATTGGAGACGCAACATATGAGAAATATTTAAGAAATAATACATATAGACTACCCCGAAACACACGATTTTTCCCCTGCTTGATGGTCGTGGAAACCATGTATTCTTGCACTTTGCTTTGATTTCCATGCAAGCGCTTGTCTGTGGTCTAGGTAGGGCTAGCAGTGGATAGTGTCCCTTGGGGCTCGTATATGTTAAATGAAAACGTTGTTCTTTTCTCGTACAAGCAAAAGAGTACAATGCATTATATCAGGCTCAGTTGTATACGTGCAGACCGAAGTTAACTTTGGTGCTTGCAAGCAAGCATTCGTGCAAAATTGCTAATAGGCAATAAGAGCAATATGTGTAAGTCCTTAATAGCATCACTGAACAAATAATATGTAATATCAAGAGAACACAGATGACATTTACTTGCACAATACCTCAATCATATGAAAAATTATATATTTTAATTAGACTAGTGTATATACTGCATAAGTGATATGTGCATAGAAAAGATACAAAGTCAAAACAATTTGTCGGTAAATGAACTAGCGATAGAATCATAAACTAGGATAGTATTTGATAATTAAATCAAAAGAATTGAGATGTTATTATAAAACGCATAATGCTGCCTAAATTCCGTCTGAGCAAGAAATATCGCTCATTTCATAGACTGAAATTATATCAATTTTTTCTTTTTTTTTTCTTTCTTTTCACTGAAGCCGCCTACGGGCCCTTTGTGGGCGTGTGCACGGCGACGCCCGACGCCCTTTGCGTGCGTGAAGGTGCGCGTGCGTGACCTCGGCATGGCTGGCCACTTTATTCGCGCTCCGCAAATCAGCGTCGCGGTTTTTACAGGCAAGGCGCTGCAACTGGCGTGGGTTTGATCTTGGCAATAAGCGCATTGTTTGGAAGGGTTACAGAACTGACATAAACATGCGTGTTTTAACTGCACTTCTTAAGCGCCACGCACGCATACACGTATATGTGTGTGTGGTGTATACATGTACATATACATATTTAAATGTGCACACACACACACACACAGACAGACATACGCGCGCGCGCACACGCAAACAAACACACGCACACACGCACGCACGCACCCACACCCACACAAACGCACACACACACACACAAACGCACACATACACACACACACACACACACAACCACACAACGCACACACACACACGCACATTCAAATATATATGTATATATATGTACTTATACATACATATATATACATGTGTGTGTATGTGATATACTTGTGTATACGCATACATGTTTATATGTATCCTATTTCTCCCATTTATCTGTCCATCTATTATCCTTCTAGCGATAACTATTTATCTGTGTATACATACTATATTCATGACTCGTTTTCTGATCTAGTTCCCAGCATCGAATGGGTACCTGTCTCATACGACCTTTCCTTTGTCTACAGCTCAGGGAAAATTGACCGATTCAGGAAAGACGGGGAATGCAAATATCGTGACTGGCGATATGCACTAAAATCTAAATCGATTTATTGAGCTTTACATTAACTGAGTTCGTAATGGTTGCGATTAAGGAACAAAGCGTCCACATTTCGACATAGCTTTCGTTCCCCTTGGTCTGCGGGGATTTTAGCCTACATGATAGCGTTTTTATCTGTCAGTCTATTGCATTCATGTCAACCAGCAGTTTAAACGCTGCTGTTAACGGGGTCGCAAGGAAAACAAACCAGTACAAGAGCAGAAAGAATAACGCAGTGAATCAGGGTGACAGGGGACGCGAACGCTGCCAGAGGGCGGGGGCGACGCCAGACCACGAGGGGGAGGAGAAGAGGGCGAAGGACGCTCTGGCGGGGCGTGGGGGGCAGAAGGGGCGTGGGGAGGCGGGCTGGGGTGTGGGCTTGCTACGCGACGTGTGGGGGAAGCTGGAAGCGGGCGTGGGTTCAGGTGCGTTGTTGCAACCGTTGGAGGAATGCAAGCAAGGAGCAGCGGGTTGCGTGTGAATGAATGCGTTCGGATTTTCATTGTTCGGAATTAGATGGAGATAGATGTTCCTCGCAGTTTTCTTTCTTCGCGTGTTACTCTCCACCTCCTGAATGTATAAACGTAGCTTTAACTTGTTGTGATTTATGACAACCGAAATAATGTAAACAATGGAGTGGCATCACCATGGGTGCACCTGCCATTCAACGCATGATTTTTATTCAGGCATGTTTATGTTAAAGGCATGTGTATTCGCTTTTCAAATATATTCACAATATCTAGCAACCTAGAATAGCTATATGTCATACACTCTGGCATTACCTCAAATATAAGTAAAGCAAATGATTACAATTATCCATGTTTTCATAAATTCTCATTTTCTTTGAAGTTATACGTGTGATATAAAACATCAGTATTTATCGATTTTGAACTCAACACGGTTAAACACTTATTTGAACACCAAAGCGTGGATTCTGCGCAGGTGCCGCGTTCGACATGAGCGAATCCACGTCTCTCGAACAGTGGAAAAAATCCACTTTATGAACGCTTGAAGATCCCAATTAAGGCGTTACCATTCGAAGATAGTTAATATCAGAAAGTATATTATTTACAGAAGTCTTTCATTCCATACATTTGTTTTTTTTTCGTTTCTTTCTTTATTTACATTGTATAAATATTCGGAGAAACGGTTTTTTCTCTGTCGATAACACTTTTAAAACACAGTACATTTGAACATACGAATATCATAATAACGGATTTTAGGGATTTGATAATCTTGCAACGTAACGTTTTTATTTTCGAAGCAAAATTGGCTCCCAGCATTCTCCCACGCTTGATTATATATTTTTGCAGCGAATGGTCCTTCATCAACCTCTGGTACATTCGTTTTGAATTTTAGTCCCAACTGAGATTTCCTTTGACGCCCCAACGCTGGACTTTGTTCCGGACTCGTAATTCACGGTTTTACTTATAGATCTGCAGGCAACTCCAAGCCGTCCAGAGCGATAGCTATTGAGAGTCTTTGTTGCTGGTGTTAAAATGTTTAACTCGCCGAGGCAAGGGATTCATCGTCGGTCTGCGAACGGAGAAAGCGCTCGGAATCCCACGGCTCTGCTCGAGGGAAGGCATCCAGAGGAAATTCATTTGGACACGCAGGCACGCTTGCACATTCACTCAGGCCTTTATACATCCAGACGTATACGTAGATGCGCACGCTAACACTTACACGCGCGCACACGCACAAAGCAACACACGCATTTGAACATACGTACACATGATAATACACGAGCAAGTAAACATACAATGTACGTGATGAACACAATTTAAACTAAAGATCTTGCAACCAAAATACATAAATGCATTCGTGAATACGGACGTTCACGACTAGTATACATGCGACTATACAAATACAATATATACATATATATATATATATATTATATATATATATATATATATATATATATATATATACATATATATGTATATATATATATATATATATGAATACATAGACACATACAAATATATGTATGTATATATATACATTCATACATTTGTATATTCATATATGTATATATGAATATATATATAATGTATACGTGCATATACATACACACACACACACACACATATGTGTGTGTGTGTGTGCATACATACATACATATATACATATATATACACACATAATAATACATACAAACATGCATACATACATATATATGCTTGTTCACTTGGCTTGCAACGTACATGGGCTAATGATAACATTAGTCTATTATTAACATCCATTGTCTCAAAATTGATTACAATGACTTATGAATGAATACTATTTAATGTAGTCTTTCGTCATTATTAAAGTAGTTACCACCAATTATGATAATTGAGAACAAATCAGTGATAATCACTAATAATAATATCTCATGTTACCCTGCCCCCCTCCCCACACACATACTTATTTTCCTTTAAGCGGATTGATGGGAAGATATTTATGGATTCAGAGTCCCTCGTGGTAATGGGAACCTGCAGTGGCCAAAGGGCTTTGTTCAGAAGAAAGGTTTGGCAGAGATCGCGGCCAACCGTATGTAGAATGGAGGTAGATAGAGCTTTGATGCACTTTTGATGATTCTCTCTCTCTCTCTCCCTCACACAACACACACACACACACACACACCACACACACACACACACACACACACACACACACACACACACACACACACCACAAAGAACTAGAGACAACTACATCGAAAATGGACAGAGTGAGGCCATGATATCATAATGAACCATGACAACAAGGAAATTTGGAGGAAAATAAGAGCAGTCACTGAAAGAACAAAACAGCGTCTGAAATTTCATGTAAAGCTCAAAGGCAAAAATTGAACAAATGCAAGCAGGTGGAAATGGCAGCCCTGTCATTTCCTTCGCAAAAATGAACAGATAATATAACCATCTCAAATAACTTCCTAAATGCAATAGATGCCAGGATAAGCGAGGACCCGCCAATTCAAAAGCATCTATGAAGAAATCCTTTGAACGGATATGTACCCAAAACAATACTCCTTCTGGGGTGAGAATTTTGCAGTTGGTGACCATCCTGGGGCCGGATACACTAACATCCGATCGTAACGTATTTACCGGCGGTTATTTACCACTGCGTTTACCA